GCCCGGCCCTCCGAGCCGCGTGTCCGTGGCCGGGTTCTAGAGGCCTTGGGCATCTTGCCCGAATGCGGGCGCCTGACCCATCACTTCCTTGCTGGGTTGTACAGAGAAATCAGTGCAATAAAGCGCGTGGAGGCACAAAGTGTGCGGTGCTCTCAGTCACTGCGTGTGTGACTTTTGTTCTAACCCGCGGGCCTCAGTTTTGTCATCCATTTAACGGGAATGACAGTACCTCCCGGGGGAGGGGGGCGCTATTGTAAGGATTAAATGAGGTTATGCCCAGCAAAGCCTTAGTACAGAGGCTTGACACGTAGTGCTACCTAAATGTTAGCTGATGCTGTCACTTGGAACGTTTATGTCCCCCAAGTGCCAGGTTTTGTGGAAGCCCTGCTCGGGGACGCCAGCAGGTAATGGTGCCATCGTGAGGGTGCTGCAGAGAGCCGGGAGCGGACAAGAAAGGGCCCGCCAGGCCTGGGTTGGACTCGGTGGCACCCGGAGGCCCTCTTGTCCTAAACTGGCCCCTACTCTGATCCAGCTACCTCCAGTGCCAGTAGGAAGTGTCTGTGGAGAGAGGGTTGGGTGCCCAGGTCACCGCTCCTTGGGCTTTTTGGGAGACAATGTTAAGTGATGGGAAGCTTCGGGGAGATACCTTGATTGGGCTAATGCTTCAGGCCCCGCCAGTCATTCAGCAGCCGTTTGTTGAGCACCTGCTGTGAAGCGGGCTCTTTGCTAGGGGCTGAGGCGACAAGGGGATGTGACTTGATCCCTCTTTCCAAGCACATTAGGGAAAGTGCTGTGTGAACAAACTGTACTGGGGTCTGGACGAGAAGCGGTGGGGCGCAGGGGCATCGTGGATGTGTTCGTTGGATACATGGGTGGGCCGGGAAGGGCTTTAGGTTGTGTCGGCTGGGTGGCTTACAGGTGAGAGGGCAACTTAGGAAGAGCAGTGTGTGCAGGGGGACCGCAGCCTGATTTTGCAGGGTCACCGAGAGGATTAAGTGGATGACGTAGGTAAGGTGTCTGGTGCAGGGCAGACATTCAGACATCAGGCCCCTTTCTGTAACCCATAGGATAAAATCCAAGACCCTGAGCCAGTTTACAAGGCCTGGTGCTGACGCCCAAGTGGAAGAGAACAGTGCCTGGTTAGGACGTCCCTGGGGAAGGATAGGAGAAACGCTGAAAAATACAAGTTGTGTGGACAGGACTCAGGGACCGAATGGATTATTAGGAGCATTGAGGGAACAGGGATGCTTCCCACATCTGGCTTGAGTTTTACTGGAGCACTGTCCTGTGTTCCAGGCAGAGCCCGGAGACCAGGTCTTGGGATGGGGAGGCAGCTGTGTGAGGAGGCAGAGACCCTTGATGAGAGTTTGTAAGGATGGCTTCTGGTCCTGGTTCTGCTTCTCTGAGTGTCTTTGGACAAGTCACTAGTTGCTCCTCAGAGGGATCTCATGGGGTTTAGGCCAGAGCTCAGCTGGGCTGAGAGGATCCCTCCATACAGATGAACCCAGAGGGAGGATGGGCTGCGGTGCCAGGAGCTGGATGGGACCTGAAGTGAAGCACAATGAGGCCTCAGAGTAGCAAATAGAAAACACCAGACAAAGCAGAAGCAGACTGACAAAAGTAAGGAAGTAATTGACAGAACAAAAAATATGCATACTAGCTGAAAGAAATGTGTTTTTTGGGTCTTCCCAGATGTGATGCTACAAAACAAGCTTCTGTCTGTGGTAGCTGGAGTGACAGAAGTGTCAGGTGGTGGAAAGAACAATGACTTGGGAACCAGGTAGATCTGGACAAAAATCTGGGCTTATCTCTCTGCTTCTTATTTCTCATCTTGAAAACGGGGATGAGACTTCCCACTTTGTACAGTGATTGGGATGACCTGGAATATTGTAAGTATAGCACGCTGTGTACCTGCTATTAAAAAATAGCTGGACTTTAAGTGACCAAGAATCCAGTTGTGTTTAATCTGCCTTATTGAAAGCAGTGGAGCCTACCAGTGTGGCTCAGCGGTTGAGCCTTGACCTATGTATCAGGAGGTCCCTATTGGAATCCCTGTCAGGGCACATGCCGGGGTTTTGGGCTAACTCCCAGTAGGGGGCGTGCAGGAGGCAGCTTATTGATGATTCTCATCATTCATGTTTTTTATCTCCCTCTCCCTTCCTCCCTCTAAAATCAATTAAAAAACAAAAATAAAACAAAAAACCACCCAAAACACATATATATAAAAGAAAGCAATGGAAGCTATTTTACAAAGTTGATAATTCTAATTTTGTGGTTTTCAGGGAAAGGGATCCCAGGATCTTATGACAACTTTTAGCCAACCCCCAAGTGAGAGGTAATTTTCATCTCTCATTGTAGTGGTTTTAGATATGTGCACAAATTCTTTGATACTTGGTCCTTCAAGAGGAGGAGGGTCATTCCTTTCCCGTTGAGTGTGGGCTGAATTTAGTGGTTAGCTTTTAAATAAGAATATGGCAGAAGTGACCTCTGAGACTGGGTCTGCCATAAAAGGCATTGCAGCTCTCTCTTCTCTCTCTTGGATCACTTACTCTCACACAGCCAGCTGCCATGCCATGAGGACACTCAAGCATCCCTTTCGAGGGATCTGTGTGGTGAGGAGTTGAGGCCGTCCGCTGGCAGCCATGTGATGAACCATTTTGCGCACATATCCTGTCAGTCCCAGCCTTCAGCCCTGTGTGCAGATTCCTGAGAAACCCTGAGGCAGGACTGCTCCACTTAGCAGCTCCTGACCCTCAGACCTCTGCAGGACCCTCACCGTTACTGTTTTAAACAGCTAAGTTTTGGGTTAATCTATTAAATAGCAGTAGATCATTAATATCTCAACCTAAATTCTTCATGCTCTGGATTAAACCAATATTCTGTAGCCCACTTCTTGAACAGTAGTATATGAATCACTTAAATCCATTAAAAAATGCTTATGGTCATAAAGTATCAGTATTAAGATATTGCTCAACTATTTCTTCTCAAGAGAAGGAAATTTTTTTTAAACCTATTTTGTTTGTTTTATACCTTGTCTTTAATGTACATATCTGCATTTTTAACATTTAACAAGTGACTTTTCTTGCTGTGGTCTGTGTCTTGGCAAGTCACATTAAATTCTTTCTGGACTAAAGTAACGTATAAATACATTAAAATTTCTATTATTGGCCTTTTCCTGGAGGTATTATTTTCCAACTTTTTAGTCACCTTCGTGTTGTATCTTTCTCCATTGTCTCCCTTTATGATGTATCCAGACCCCACACTGGGTTAAAATGCGGAGGCAAATGAGATTGGGTGTCATAGTCTAGACCTCTGCTGTCCATTAAGTAGCCACTAGCTACATGTGGCTATTTAAGTTAATTAGAAATAAGAAAAATTAACAATTCTGTTCCTTACTTGCATTAGTCATGTTTTAAGTACTCAGTAGCCACAGTGGGAAATGGCTACCTGCTGGGTGCGCAGACGTAGAATATTTGCATCATTGCAGAAAGTTCTGTTGGATACTGCTGCTCTGTAATTTATTTTTTTCTATAGAGAAGATTATGTTCTGGCTCTTGAGTATTCATGAAATCATGTAACGTTTGGATTCTATTTCTATAAATTCTTCTCATACTTAGCTGATGCCTCATTGCTCATGGCTGAGCTTGAGTAAAGTGAGCGTGTCACATTCCCCGTGTGCCTGGCACGCAGAGTCTGACAGCTGTAGGTGCCTGCCCAGTTCTTGGGGAATTGCTCTCTCTGTCTAGCTTATGACTCGCTCTGCCTGCTTGGTCTGTTTCTTCTGCAGTCATGTAGACAATATTTTTTTAAAGCTTCTGTCAATGTCACTTATTTTTCCTCTTCAGTCTGTGTATAGTTAAAATGGTTTTTCTGTTTACTTCCTTCAGGCTCTTATACATCCTGTTTAGTCGTGCAGGTGCTTCCTCCATACGTCTGAACCCCGTTACCTTGTACACTCTATTTCCCTTTTTAAGAAAGCACCTACCGCTGTGTAGTAATTTACATGTTTCTTACCCTCTGTCTCCTTCCAGGAGGGAAGGCCCACGAGGGCAGAGGAACTTGGCTTTTTCACGATAATCCTGTTTGGGTGATGCTTCGTGAATTCGATGTCTCCTGTCACTTTGGGAAATTGTCAGCCAGTACTTTTTCAAATACTGTTTGTTTCCTATTTCATTTCCTTCTGGGACTCCAGTTACACATGCATTAAACCTTTCATTGTTTTATGTGTCTCGTTGGCTCCTTTCCGTAGTTTCCATTTTCTCCAAGCTTCTACTTGAAAATTTTGTACTAATTTGCTGTAGTTCTCTAATCCTCTTTCCTGTGTCTTACCTGCTGTCGTCTGTTGTGTTCTTAGTTTCAGGTATTGTATTTTTGAGTCACTGTATTGTAGAATGTCTGTTTGATTTTTAAAAATAGATTACACTCTTGAATTCATTTTGTCATTTATCTTCTTGAACGTATTAGTTATAGGAAAGAATGTGCTTCATAACTTTATGTTGTCTTGTGTTTTGTTGTCTTGTGTTTCGTCATTTGCTTCTATCTTTTTTTATTGGACGCTGAATGTTGTGCATAAAAGATTGAGTCCATTTTCAGGTATCTTCCCTTGAAAATACTTGGACACTCAAAGCCAAAACAATCTAAAAACAATTTTTTTCAACAAATGGTGGTAGAACAACTTGGACTAAAATGATCCTTGACCCCACACCTTGTACCATTTACCAAAAATATTTCACCATGGGTTATACACCTAAACATGAAAACTAAAACTATAACATGTTTATAAGAAACATGGGAGACTATCTTTGAGACCCTGAGTGAAGGCAAACATTTATCCAGGACACACCACTAACTATGCAAGAAAAATCTGACTTTATCAAATTAGATTTTATAAAATTTAAAACTTCTATTCATCAAAAGAAATGAAAAGGCAAGCCGTAGAGTGAAGGTGTTTTGCAATACGTGTATCTGACAGAGGACTTGTATCAGAATACACTGAGCTCCTGTAACTCGATAAAAAGACAACCCAGTGAAAAAATAGGGCAAAAAACTTAGATGCTTTATAAAGGAAGACATATAAATGGCCAAGAAACACATGATAAGGTACTCAACATCATTAGTTATTAGGGAAATGCAAATTAAAACAATAATGAGATGCCACTTTATGCCCTTTAGGGTGGCTGTTACCAAAAAAGCAGAGAAAGGAAAAAAAGTGTTAGTGAGCACATGTAGAGGTTGGTGCCCTTCTGCATGCAGAGTGATGCAGCCACCATGGAAGACAGTTTGCTTCCTCAAAAAGCTAAGCACAGAACATGACCCAGCACTTCCACACCTAGGTATGTGCCCAAGAGAACTGAGAGCAGGGACTCAGATGCTTGTCTGCTCTGCTCATTGTAGCCTAGTACACAATAGCCAGCAGATGGACACAACCTGTGTCCCTCAGCAGATGAGCAGGTGAGCAAAACCTGGAATGCAGGGCAGTGTTACTTAGCCCTAGGAGGCGTGAAGTTCCAGTACATGTTGCAACATGGATGGACCTTGAAAATGTTGTGCTAGGTGAAAGAAGCAGACGTAAAAGGACATATTTTGATTCCACTTACATGAAGTACTTAGAATAGTCATAGAAACAGAAAGTAGATTAGAGGTTACGAGGGAATTGGGACAGTGCGGGGGATTATTGCTTAATGGTTGCCGAGTTTCTGTTTGGGGCACTTACTTACACAGTTCTGGAATTATGTGGTGGTGATGGTTGCACAACATTGTGAATATAATTAAGATTCCACGGTTGAAATCGTGCCTTGCAGGGCTCGCCATAGTATGTATCTCATCTGACTGGTTTGGGACCTTCGATCTCTGCTTGGAGGGGGAGTTTACCTCAGCTTTTTACCTCTGAGTAACACAGGGCCCTTGTGGATCTGTTTTGCAGAGTGACTGAAATAGTTTGCCTTTTTTTAACCATTTGTGTTTTGGGGGCTCCTTCCCTTCTTCCCTCTTCTCACCTGAAATACTCCAGTAGGAAATATTGATGCCTTTTTTGAGTCCCTCAGTGGGGTTCAGGGGGAAAAGGCTTTTGTGAGGCATAGGCTTAGTTTCAAATCCAAGCACTGCAGCTTCCTAGCTGTGTGAACTTGAAAATATTTTAACTTCTCCCAGCCTGTTTTCACGTTGGTAAAATGTGTATTACGACAATGCCTACCTTGGAGGGTTGATGGGGTCGTGGAGTGCGCTACATGTAGAGTTGGAATGGTGCCAGTACATGGTGGCCAGCATTCACCAATATTATTGTTGCAGCTCTAGTCAGCCAGTAGTGAAAAGAAATGAAACGTGTGGTAATTCTTAAGAATTTTGCATATTTTAAAATAGTGCTTGTTAAGTCTTTAATTTCATCTCAATTCCTTAATCAGGTTCTTGTCTTAAGAGGCTTTAGAAACTGCTCTGGAACCTGAGAGTAAGAAACAGATACAGTAACTCAGTGGAGAGAAGTAGTTGTTCAGATCCAGAAGATGTGGGCAGTCATTTCTTGCCAGTGTTTGAATTCCTTGGTAGAAAGCTTTTTAAAACAATATTAAACAATTTAAAAAAGCTATGAGAATTTCCAATAAAAAAGTGAATACTTGAAAGCAACTTTAGGTTATGACTTGAGCAGAGGAGTTTAGATGATTTTGCATGGACATTATAATGCTTTAGGAACTGACATTGAAGGATCCTTATGTACTCTAAGGAAAGGGGAAATTAAAGCTTATCATTAGCTTTCACCCTAATGGTTTTGTTAGTTTGGTTGTTTTTTAACTCTTGACAAATCAAAACTACAAGTACATGATAATGTTAATGCCTTTATGGAGGATGATACAACATAATCTAACAAGTGCCCGTGTATTTCAGTTGCAAAGTCAACAAGTATTAAAATTTGGTTTTGTTCTCTCAAAATCCAAAACATTACCGATACTGTAATGTCCTCTGTATTAGAACAAATTACCCCACAAGTTAGCAGCTTGAAATCACAAACATTTACTGTTTTGTGCAGTTTATGAGAGTCAGCAATCTGGGGCTTCTTTGCTAGGTGCTTCTGACTCGTCTTTCAAGAGGTTGCAGTCAGGCTTTCGACCAGGCTGCAGTATTCTGAAGGCCTGGCTGGGGCTGAAGCGTGGGACTCCCAGCTCGCACGGGACTTTGGCAGGTAGCTTCAGTTTCTCATCACATAAACCGCCTGTAGGGCGGCTCAGGACATGGTAGCTGGCTTGTTCCAAAGATCCAAGAGAGTGTGCTCAGGGTGGAAGCTGGAGTGTCTTTATAACCTAATCTTGGAAATGACACACACCCTTACTACTGCATGGTCTA